CTGCAATGCAGTGCCTTAGACCGCTGTGCCACTCGGGAGCCCAAAGTTGTTTCCGCTGGTCGCAAAAAGCTAAATTAACATGACACAAGTGGAATTAAATGTAAAAGGCTTTGAAAATAAAAAACTGGCGGTATGCTCAGTGTTCCGTTGACATTTCAGAGATATGCTTGTTTTTGTGAGAAATCTTAGGAAAAAAACAGGAATTTCGCATTAATATGAAAAGCGTTTACTAAAATATGAAAATACTACATGTTGTCTCAAAATCGATATCTACCATACCTCTATATTGTTTTATGTCCTCCGGATTTGAGAAGAAGGATGACTAGTTGAACGGTGAGCCTGTCAGTTGGCCTTAATTCTCTCACAGCATCCAGCCTAACTGACACAGTGCTATTTTCCAGATTTTTTACCACTTTCTTTCTGGCCTCCATTGAATTATTCACCCTAATTTTGGCCATCCTAAAAGGGTGATAACTCAATTAACTTTTGAACGGATTATGATAGACACATGAGGTTTGGACCATTGGTTTTCTTAGAGGAAAACATTATTTTACCCATTGGTCAAACGATGCGTTTTTAATTGGACACCCTAATAAGGGCCATATGTTTCGAAAGCCGTATCACAAGCGATGATTGTTGACATTTCTAAACGGTTAAACACAATGCCGGGATTGTATACTGAACAAAATATAAACGCAGCATGCAACAATTTCAAAGACTTTATGGAGTTACAGTTCATATAAGGAATTCAGTCAATTGAAATAAATAAATGAGGCCCTAATCTATGGATTTCACATGACTGGGAATACAGATATGCATCTGTTGGTCACAGATACCTTAACAAAAGAGGTAGGGGCGTGGATCAGAAAACCGCTGTATCTGGTGTGACCACCATTTGCCTCATGACACATCTCCTTCGCATAGAGTTGATCAGGCTGTTGATTGTGGCCTGTGGAATGTTGTCCCACTTTCTATTCAATGGCTGGGCGAAGTTGCTGGATATTGGCGTGAACTGGAACACACTGTCCTACACATCAATCCAGATCATCCCAACCAATGGGTGACATGTCTGGTGAGTATACAGCATTATCATGCTGAAACATGAGGTGATGGCGGCGGATGAATGGCACGACAATGGGCCTCAGGACCTCGTCACGGTATCTCTGTGCATTAACATTTCCAGCGATAAAATGCAATTGTGTTTGTTGTCCATATCTTATGCCTGCCCATACCATAACTCCACCATGGGGCACTCTTTTCACAATGTTGACATCAGCAAACCGCTCGCCCACACAACGCCATAAATGTGTGGTAGTGAGGCCGGTTGGACGTACTGCCAAGTTATCGAAAACGATGTTGGCTTATGGTAGAGAAATTAACATTTACATTCTCTGGCAACAGCTTTGGTGGACATTCCTGCAGTCAGCATGCCAATTGCACACTCCCTCCAAACTTGAGGACATCTGTGGCATTGTGTTGTGTGACAACTGCACATTTTAGAGTGGCCTTTTATTGTCCCCAGCACAAGGTGCACCTGTGCAATGATCATGCTGTTTAATCAGCTTCTTGATATTGCACACCTGTCAGGTGGATGGATTATCTTGGCAAAGGAGAAATTCTCACTAACAGGGATGTAAACAAATTTGTGCACAACATTTGAGAGAAATAAGATTTTTGTGGGTATGGAACATTTCTGGGATCTATTATTTCAGCTCATGAAACATGTGACCAACACTTTACATGTTGCGTTTAGATTTTTGTTCAGTATAGTTCACATGAGCCAGTCGTGCCGCTGAAAACTGTAAGGCAGAATGCCGCCTAGAGTTTTCGAGAGCTAGCTCTGGCCCAGGGCGTCGTTGGGCTGCACTCTTACTATCGGCCTGACTTTTTTTAGTGACTGGCTTAAATATACTTTCGTAACTCACCAAAGTAAAGTTGTTAGAGTGCTGGGTCACGGTTGTCATTTCTCCAAAATGCTTTGTATACTGCCAGACTAGCTTAAGTCGTCGTGCATGCATTGGATTTGCACTACTACCGGCACATGCACGTGTTACTTCTACTATAATGGTTCACGGGTCAGCTGTTTGTTCACCCACACCCGCCCGGAATTGCTAATAACTCATCCGCAACCGCCCGACTATATATGATAAAGTGAAAATCTGAGGCCCGCACCCGACCCTAACCTGCTAGTATAGAAAATGGGCTGTGGGCTACAGTCAGAGACCGCAGAACGATTTTTTGGCCTGATTTAGATAAGCAGAAACATAGCCTATAATTTCCGACATTTTGGTAGGCTATTTGTTAGTCAACTTGTCTATAATTAGATACATGCAGCTTCTCTTCTGTCATTATGTTGCTCTAGAAGACTAAATAAACCCTTGCTCACCAGAATGTCATCTATCCATAGAATGAATGCTTCAATCTAGTTGACATCATTCAAGTTTTCTTTGTCATTTTTGCTTCTTTCACGGAGCAAAGACATTTAGGGACCGGGAGAAAATGTAATAACCCCCCAAAAAACTGGAAAGATTTTCTGTGCAAAATTTCCAAATTACATCAGTTTGACCGTTTGTAAGGAAATAGAATGCAGTGAAAATTTCAGTGTCCAGATTTCAGTTTTCATTTAACCCATCTGAACAGTACGTTCACTTGACCTGCCATAGGCCTATTGGAAGTCCCTGTCTTGTGACTGTCGAATTTGTATAGTGCCTCACAATCATCACACATACAGTGGGGAAAAAAGTATTTAGTCAGCCACCAATTGTGCAAGTTCTCCCACTTAAAAAGATGAGAGAAGCCTGTAATTTTCATCATAGGTACACGTCAACTATGACAGACAAAATGAGAAAAAAAAATCCAGCAAATCACATTGTAGGATTTTTAATGAATTTATTTGCAAATTATGATGGAAAATAAGTATTTGGTCAATAACAAAAGTTTCTCAATACTTTGTTATATACCCTTTGTTGGCAATGACACAGGTCAAACGTTTTCTGTAAGTCTTCACAAGGTTTTCACACACTGTTGCTGGTATTTTGGCCCATTCCTCCATGCAGATCTCCTCTAGAGCAGTGATGTTTTGGGGCTGTCGCTGGGCAACAGACTTTCAACTCCCTCCAAAGATTTTCTATGGGGTTGAGATCTGGAGACTGGCTAGGCCACTCCAGGACCTTGAAATGCTTCTTACAAAGCCACCCCTTCGTTGCCCGGGCGGTGTGTTTGGGATCATTGTCATGCTGAAAGACCCAGCCACGTTTCATCTTCAATGCCCTTGCTGATGGAAGGAGGTTTTCGCTAAAAATCTCACGATACTTCCTTTACACGGATCAGTCGTCCTGGTCCCTTTGCAGAAAAACAGCCCCAAAGCATGATGTTTCCACCCCCATGCTTCACAGTAGGTATGGTGTTCTTTGGATGCAACTCAGCATTCTTTGTCCTCCAAACACGACGAGTTGAGTTTTTACCAAAAAGTTCTATTTTGGTTTCATCTGACCATATGACATTCTCCCAATCCTCTTCTGGATCATCCAAATGCACTCTAGCAAACTTCAGACGGGCCTGGACATGTACTGGCTTAAGCAGGGGGACACGTCTGGCACTGCAGGATTTGAGTCCCTGGCGGCGTAGTGTGTTAATGATGGTAGGCTTTGTTACTTTGGTCCCAGCTCTCTGCAGGTCATTCACTAGGTCCCCCCGTGTGGTTCTGGGATTTTTGCTCACCGTTCTTGTGATCATTTTGACCCCACGGGGTGAGATCTTGCGTGGAGCCCCAGATCGAGGGAGATTATCAGTGGTCTTGTATGTCTTCCATTTCCTAATAATTGCTCCCACAGTTGATTTCTTCAAACCAAGCTGCTTACCTATTGCAGATTCAGTCTTCCCAGCCTGGTGCAGGTCTACAATTTTGTTTCTGGTGTCCTTTGACAGCTCTTTGGTCTTGGCCATAGTGGAGTTTGGAGTGTGACTGTTTGAGGTTGTGGACAGGTGTCTTTTATACTGATAACAAGTTCAAACAGGTGCCATTAATACAGGTAACGAGTGGAGGACAGAGGAGCCTCTTAAAGAAGAAGTTACAGGTCTGTGAGAGCCAGAAATCTTGCTTGTTTGTAGGTGACCAAATACTTATTTTCCACCATAATTTGCAAATAAATTCATTAAAAATCCTACAGTGTGATTTTCTGGATTTTTTTCTTCTCAATTTGTCTGTCATAGTTGACGTGTACCTATGATGAAAATTACAGGCCTCTCTCATCTTTTTAAGTGGAAGAACTTGCACAATTGGTGGCTGACTAAATACTTTTTTTCCCCCACTGTAACATAGCCGGCACTGCTATCATCCTCTTTTACCACTTCACCAAATCTTTCCCAAAACATTACATTTCAGGCCCTCCCTTCTATTTATTTTCAACTCTCCTTTCGCAGCTTTTCTCTTATTGAATTACCGTAAACTCCGACATTGTCCGTTTTGCCTCCTTGGATCAATTTTTCTGCCCGTTCCTAAAAGCATTTGGTGATTGGCTGTAGGCTATTTGGCGCGCGTACAGTTAAACCCTAGAGCTTAGGCTTATGCACTAATGCCAGATAGCCTGAAATAATGAAATAAGAAGCTCAATGTAGCCTATAGATATAAATTGCACAATTATTTTTTAAAGGTATTGTTTTCTCTTTATTCAACCCACCTGCCACCCACGCACCCTTTCTCCACAGAATATTTAATGACCCTAAACCTGCCCCTCCCTGCGGATATAACCGTGGGGACTGCGGGTTATGAGTCATCCCGTGCATCACTATTCTACTGTTATTTCTAGCTGGCTATATCTTGTCATTGCTTGCTTACAATTTGATTGCTATTTCAGGTTTCATAATGTCAACATAGCCAGCTACCAAGACCCTTGAAATGTTGCTTACAGTTGTTTAGGCTACTTATCCTGTTTACAGATCACTTGTTGTTTACAGTGTACTTTCTCTGTACAGTTGTTTACATTTCCTGTTTGTTTACAGTTGATTATAGACTTACAAAAGCAGACAGTGGAAGGTCACCATGGATCTCGGTGAGTTTGAAGCAGACAACTCGGTGAGCTGTCGCCTGGCTTCAGCGATACCCGATGTCTGCAAGACAGAAGACTGCTGTTTGGGTATCGATGAAGCCGGCAGGGGGCCTGTACTGGGTGAGTGGGTCTCAACCATGAAAATATGGGGTTTCTACCTCCTGTTCAAATGTCATGGATTACTAGTCCATGTTATCTAATCTATTTTTACATTTAGGTCATTTAGCAGATTTTTTTGGCTCCTATTCAAACGTCATGGATCACTTAGTAGATCACTGAATGTCTGTTATCTAGTTGCTTGGTCATCATTTGATGTTGCTTGCTAATATCATGCGTTTGCTCCACCAGGACCCATGGTCTACGGAATATGTTTCTGTCCCATCGGCAAAAAGGAAGATCTGAAGGACTTGAAAGTGGCAGGTAAGTTCATGATGTAGGTTCATGAAAGTTAAAAAATATATATATACATAAACATTCAAGAGGAATCCACCGTTAAATAATTCATTAATTAATATCATACGTGTTCTGCAGGATGCCTGTGTGACTGTATTGTACATGTCTGTGTCTCTACTGACAAACCTTTGAGGATCAACAAAGTTGATTCATTCATCTGTTTATTGTACAATGATGAGTTACTGTGTCTCCTTTTCTAGACTCGAAGACATTGACAGAGGCACAGAGAGAGCATCTATTCCGCAAGCTGGACGAGGCCAAGAGCTTTGTAGGCTGGGCTCTTCAGATCCTCTCACCCAACACTATCTCTACCAGCATGCTGCAGAGGTATTTAAACACATACTGTACTACACACACACACACACACACACAGACACAGAGAAAGACAGACAGAGAGCGAACAAGAGAACCCACACACAGATGATTCTAACTGTTCTACTCTTCCACAGGTCCAAATACAACCTGAACGCTCTCTCTCATGACGCAGCCATTGGCCTGGTACAGTTCGCCCTGGACAGTGGAGTACAGCTCAAAGAGGTACGGTACAAAGCATCTTGATTCTTGTAAACCATGCATACAAACACACCACTATCATCAATACAACATTACAAACCCTCTAAATGTCCTTTCTGCCCTACTCTTTTCTCTCACTCTGTCTTTCTATATTCCTTTTTGTCTCTCCCTCGTTTTCTCCCTTTCTCTCTATCATATCCACCACCCTTCCAACTATATAGACATGTTATTTTTACTCCTCATTGTTATTCACTGTGTATTTATACCTCTGGTCACTATTTCAGTTTTTCTTTATCTTAAACTCTGCATTGTTGGGAAGGGCCTGTAAGTAAGCATTTCACTGTTAGTCTACATCTGTTGTTTACGAAGCATGTGACTAATGAAATGTAATTTGATTGATTTGACCAACCTTCTATTACTACCCTGTCCCTTGTCCTCCCTCCCTCTCCCTGTGTGTGACAGGTTTTTGTGGACACGGTGGGTCCTGCAGAGAAGTACCAGGAGAAACTGTCCCAGCGGTTCCCCGGGGTGGAGGTGACCGTACGACCCAAAGCTGACTCCCTCTTCCCCATCGTCAGCGCTGCCAGTATCTGTGCCAAGGTCAGAGGTCACGCTAACTCTCTCATTTTCTCTTATAGTTTCCTCTCTTTGTCTCCTGTACCTCGAGACCAGGGATCTGAAAGTACTGGAGTGAAGGGTTTTGTCCCAGATTAGCAGGATTGAGGTAGCCTGAGTGCCAGTCTGTCTGTGCTATCATGCCAACTCCTTGTCAATCCTAGACAGCGATTGAGTTGGCAGGAGCACAAACAGACCTGGGACCAGGCTAAGAAGGAGGATCACTGGCCTAAATGATCTCTGCTGCTCCTTCAGGTGGCCAGGGACCATTCAGTAAAAGACTGGAACTTTCCAGAAGACCTAGGAGAGGTGGATGCAGACTACGGCTCTGGCTACCCCAACGGTCAGTAGGGGAACACGTTAGGGAACATCTTCTCCCATCACACTCTTTTTAATGGCTTGACAACACTGGAACAATATATGAAGTTCATAATCTTATATTAAATCCTAGTTTAGTCAAATTTGACTCATGTTTTAGTCCTTTATTGGTAGAATTGGTTTAACACTAGAAGCGCAGAAACCATCGTTTTGACATCATATGAATTTAAATGTTGTATAACAATTTTAAAAGTCATGGCTGGAAAAGGATGGAGGTCCATCTTTTCTGTTAAATAGAAGAGTTTGTAGAAGTACAGTGTTTTAGTGCTGTAATGGTAGAATCTGTTTAAAATAAAGTAGAATGTCTTCTTGTGTGTTTCCTCCAGACCCGAAGACGAAGGCGTGGCTGCTGAAGTACCTTGACCCGGTGTTTGGCTACCCTCAGTTTGTCAGGTTCAGCTGGAGCACCACACAGACCCTGCTGGACAGCAAGGCTGTCACCGTACACTGGTGAGGAGAGATGGGGTGGAAGTGGGGGGGGGGTGAGGGTCTGCGGTGAGAGAGGGCTACAGGTAGATGGTGAAAAGTGCTCAGTGTTTACCCTATATTGTACTCATTTATTTTACTACTATAACCCTGTTTACCCCCATACAAGTGTTTGAGGAAAGGGTAGGGGCTATAGCAATGTGAAAGCTGTATCTGTCTCTGTCTATACATTCAGTAGAACAAGTTCACATAACTATTTGTGTGTTATCAGGGATGATGATGAGGAGGATGGGGAGAAGGCTGCAGCACGTCAGAACAACACCTCCATGTTGTCCTACTTCAAGGCCGGCTCCAAGACCTCCGCCCAGCAGAGCAACACACACCAGACACACCGCTTCTTCACCGAGAGGAGACTGCAGAGCCTGGCCACACTCTGAGAGGAGGAATACACCCACCCACTGAGACATGGTGCAGGGCACACACACACTCTGTTTAACTGTCCAGTGTTTCCAGATTTCTATCAAATATGACCTATAGTTAATTACAATATTACTGAAATAGTGTTCCTACCCAATTTTTGTTATTAAGTGTGTTAAAAAGCAGCTTTTCTGTGTTAGAATGGTGTGGGCGTACCCCAACAGCAGAAGGGTGTGAGCGTATACTGGTCATAAAAAATATGAACAGAAGTAGACCGCTGATTGGCCAGCTCATCCTCCTCAGGACGATGACATCATCCTCTATGAGGAAATAGCAAGCATTCTGTTTGAAGTGGGGTTTTTAAAGTTTTTTTTTTTTTTTTTTTCTCAGATTCATGCTTTGGCCACAAATACGAGTATAGGTCAAGTCAACAACATTATTTGGGTCCGAGTTAACAATAGGAACTTTTAAAAGTGGGATTTTCACTGGACAGTTAATTAAAGATATGGAGAGGAGCACACACACACACTTGCCGGTAGATGCTGTAGAATACAAACCACATGCACACAAGATGAACAGTGCTGTGGGCACAACTGACTGAATGGACTTGGAACCCAACACTTAGGAACTTCATGAACTTTGTTGTCTTTTGAACAATAAATATATATTAATTGTTTCTGAATAATTGTCAATTTCTTTCATAGAGTTCAGGAAAGGAAATAGTGTTTAGTTCAGGTGTGTTTTTATTATTGCATTCGTGAATACTGCGCTCAGTAGGTAGTGCTCAATTTTCATATTCCCACACTGCCCCCAAGTGGTGAAAAACGTACACTTCAAGATATGTTTCACGTCAATTCTCTCCCATCACTCTTGCTGCAGCCTTTATACTAGTTATACACCTCGTATATGCCACAGATGTTCCGTAGGCACTGGAAATCACCTTTTACTTGAATAATTAGGAACTGTTCAGGAAGTCATAAAGGTAATACATTGTATAAGCATAAGTAGAAAACTCCCATCAACAGCTATTATGACCCTGCCTACTATTATTCTAATGCCTTATTCTCAGTGACAGACTTAAGACAAGTAGTAAATAGGCCTACAGTTATCATGCAAAATGCATATTAATACAAGATATATTATACTGAGTTTCCCTGAGAAAATACCTGTGATATTGGCATAGAGTAAATAAAGTGACAGTTGTGTAAGAATCATTTATACACAATAGATTAGATACACAAGTCTGACTATTGTCTTGTTAACCAAATGTGGCATTGCATCAAGTGTCCGCTGGTCATTTCTGAATCTCTGAACTCAACTCATACAGTCTTGGGCATCCTCTGTTGTTGACATGGCAACCGGGTTTACATCAAATTCCATCTTCTGTTTTCCCCCTGGGAGTTGAGTGTGACTCGGGTAAATTGAAATTCCCTGCTTCTCACCAATTTTCTACCAGGCTTTATTCAGCAGACACTAGTCAACACAGGTGACTATAGGTATGACCAAAATACACAATATAACAAGGTAGCATAAGTGTTTAGCTACGTATCTAAGGCGTTAGCCAGCCTATCCATTGTCCTTTAGCCGTCATTGTCCTTCTGCCTGGAATCCACTATCTTCTTCCCCATGTTCATAGCCACGGTGGACACAGCGAAGGAGGAGAGGATGATGATGGATGTGCCTACGAACTGGGTGGAGGCCCCTCTGGGGGCTACCCTCATGGCCCTCCTGGGGAGGGAGTCAGGGTCTGCAGCCTGGGCCATCATGGTCTGGGCAATGGGCTCCATGGATCTCTCTGGTGGTCTGGTAGAGGCTGGAGCTCAGAGACTTCTGGGACTGATGGTTAAGTCCTCTTGCCCCACAAAGAGAGCTGCTTCTGGGGCTGGGTCTCTCTTTGGTCCAGTGGAGCTCAGACAAACATCCGGGGACTGGAGGAGGCTAGATCCACTTGCCCACTTCGAGAGCTGCTTCTGCGGCTGGCGTTCAACAGTCGCTGCCTGGATCTTTCATCCAGAGACTGAAGGCTAGATCCACCGGCCCACTTCGAGAGCTGTTTCTGGGCCTGGGAACTCAACACTCACTGCCTCTTCTGGAAGCCTCAAATCAGGTAAACATCCAGTCTACAGTCCACACAGTAAGTAATGTCCCAGTTTAGGTCTTGATCCCTCTAGTCACTCCTGTCTGCCTTTTATAACCTCCCTAGCCTGTTCCCATGGAGCTCTACCTCAAATCCCTCTGAGTTAGTCCTGTCTGTGTCCGACTGCGTCAATGGGATTGTAAATAGATTAGGACAATTGGCTGAGACTGGGGGTGGGGCTAAGCTTTATGAGTATACCAGCACCAGCGGCCAAAGTCACTCAATGGGTTTAATAGTATTAGAAGAACCCCTGCTGTGCCAAACAGGAGGAGGTGAATGGAGACGATCAGAGGATACCATTTCCTTCTGTTGCTATGGGTGTTTGTGTGTTATGTTGTCCACTGTATTAACGCCAGGAAGACCACCTGGCGTCTCGATCCAGTATCCTCCTGACCTAACCTCTGGTAGAGACGCCAGAGGGTATTCTACAAAGCAGGTTCAATGAGTTAGCCAGCTAACTTCAATAAACAACCAGAAACAACTATTGATGTTCTGGGTCATTAAGAAAGCTAAATGTAGATATGTGTTTTTGGTTGTTGAGTCAGTTAGACCATGCCCATTCTAAGCTTATCTTTAAAATAAATAAAAACAATAAAAAATATTTAGGCAAGATAGCTGGCTAAGTTATTGATCCTGCTTTGTAGTATACCCCTCTGGTGGTCCTCCTGGGGTTTATACAGTGGACAACATAACACTAACACCCACAGCAAAGGAGAGAAGGAAATGGTGCAGGTCAGGTCAAGAGAGTAGGCTACCTAGCCATCCAAAAGAGGGGCATTATCAGTGGAGGCTGCTGAGGGGAGGACAGCTCATAATAATGGCTGGAATGGAGTCAATGGAATGGCATCAAACACATTGAAACCACGTGTTAGATGTGTTTGATACCATTCCATTGACTCCATTCCAGCCATTATTATGAGCCATCCTCCAATGGGCTTTATAGTCTACTAATATTGCACGTTTTATGTAGGCTAATGTCTGTTTATGCTTGTCCTAATAAATAAAGGAAAACACTTATGTAAAACCAGTGGCATAGGTGAGGTTAGGTCACGAGTCTTGTCCAACAGTCATAAATTCCCCTGCAATACTTTTTTTTGTCCTTGAACCAAAACAAGTGGTGGGGAATTTAATCAGTGGAATAGGATCACGTGTCAGTGGTGAAATAAACATTTCCAAGGTAACCCTGCTCACTTCACAGAAAACAAGGCAATGTACGGTTTTGGGACCAGAAGGTGCATCGGGGTTACTGGGAAGTTGGAACCGAACCAAATCAGTTAAGATAATTCACCAGGTGCAACGTCCTAATCGTACGCCGTTATATAGCTGCAATACAGAAAAAACATCGGCCCTTAGCTCATGCTTTCAGCACCGCGGACAGCGTCATGGCGCCAGGAATATGCCTACATCGGTGACCTAGGCAACGCCGGGTCCACGGGTCCTTCATCCCCGGGCTCTTAATTGTCGTAATGAGATTAGTATGTTGCTGTTCTTTTCCACTATTGGCATAGACCACTGAACGCATAATGAGTCATGACATTAGGCCTCTGAATCTGGTAGTACCTTCTGTCACGGAAAATTACACAAAATCGCCAGATTTTAGGTTGTATCACATTTGACAATTAAGTCATTTAGCAGAAGCTCTTATCCAGAGCGACCTACAGGAGCAATTAGGGTTAAATGCCTTGCTCAAGGGCACATCTACGGGTTTTTCACCTAGTCGGCTCTGGGATTCGAACCAGCGACCATTAGGCTACCCAGTTTATCATATGCCACCATCTATTGTCTCAGCATCAGATTGATTCCAGTCAGGGTTTGGGTCAATTACATTTCAATTCCAGAAAGTAAACCCAATTCCATTTTTTTTCAACGCTTTTCAGTTTTCAATTAGGACAATTTGGAATTGGAATTTGGTTTACTTTCTGAATTGACTGGAATTGAAATGGGAATTGACCCCAACCCTGATTGCAGTTATACATAATGTAGCTACATGCAATTACATTTACATTTACATCATTTAGCAGACGCTCTTATCCAGAGCGACTTACAAATTGGTGCATTCACCTTATAGCCAGTGGGATAACCACTTTACAATTATTATTAATATTATTAATATTATTATTATTATTATTATTATTATTATTATTATTATTATTTATTTTTTGGGTAGGGTAAGGGGGGGTTAGAAGGATTACTTTATCCTATCCCAGGTGTTCCTTAAAGAGGTGGGGTTTCAAATGTCTCCGGAAGGTGGTGAGTGACTCCGCTGTCCTGGCGTCGTGAGGGAGCTTGTTCCACCATTGGGATGCCAGAGCAGCGAACAGTTTTGACTGGGCTGAGCGGGAACTGTGCTTCAGCAGAGGTAGGGGAGCCAGCAGGCCAGAGGTGGATGAACGCAATGCCCTCGTTTGGGTGTCGGGACTGATCAGAGCCTGAAGGTACGGAGGTGCCGTTCCCCTCACAGCTCCGTAGGCAAGCACCATGGTCTTGTAGCAGATGCGAGCTTCAACTGGAAGCCAGTGTAGTGTGCGGAGGAGCGGGGTGACGTGAGAGAACTTGGGAAGGTTGAACACCAGACGGGCTGCGGCATTCTGGATGAGTTGTAGGGGTTTAATGGCACAGGCAGGGAGCCCAGCCAACAGCGAGTTGCAGTAATCCAGACGGGAGATGACAAGTGCCTGGATTAGGACCTGTGCCGCTTCCTGTGTAAGGCAGGGTCGTACTCTCCGAATGTTGTAGAGCATGAACCTACAGGATCGGGTCACCGCCTTGATGTTAGCGGAGAACGACAGGGTGTTGTCCAGGGTCACGCCAAGGCTCTTCGCACTCTGGGAGGAGGACACAACGGAGTTGTCAACCGTGATGGCGAGGTCATGGAACGGGCAGTCCTTCCCCGGGAGGAAGAGCAGCTCCGTCTTGCCAAGGTTCAGCTTGAGGTGGTGATCCGTCATCCATACTGATATGTCTGCCAGACATGCAGAGATGCGATTCGCCACCTGGTTATCAGAAGGGGGAAAGGAGAAGATTAGTTGTGTGTCGTCTGCGCAATAATACATCACCA